CATATTAAGAGCAACTGCGTTCTCTTCGCTGATGATGTAAAGCTTTCAATACCACAGACAATACTGCTACCCTTCAAAAAGATCTTGACTATGTATCAGAATGGTCAAACAAATGGCAACTTAAAATCTCAACAAATAAATGCTCTGTCTTACATATAGGCAAAAAAATCAGAAAATAAAATACAAGCTGAATAGTCAAGACCTTGTTGATGATCCAAGCTTTCCAAAGGACCTTGGAATACTCATCTCTAATGATCTAAGTGCTAGAGCCCACTGTAACTACATAGCCAAAAAGGCATTAAGAATTGTTAACCTAATCCTACGTAGCTTTTTCTCTGGTAATTTCACACTACTAACTAGAGCATACAGAACATTTGCTAGGCCAGTCCTTGAATATAGCTCATCAGTCCGGAACCCGCATTATGTATTTGATATTAATATAGCTGAGAAAGTCCAGAAATATTTCACAAGAAGAGTTCTCTGCTGCTCTACTCATTGCAGAATACCTTATGTCACCAGACTTGAAATTCTAGACCTAGAAAACCTTGAATTACGCCGTCTTCGGTCTTATCTAAGTATGGTATATAAAATCATACATTGCAATGTCCTACCTGTCAATGAATACTTCAGCTTCAACCATAACAATACAAGAGCACACAATAGATACAAACTCAAGGTTAACCACACCAAACTTGATTGCAGGAAATACGACTTCAGCAACGGAGTGGTCAATGTCTGGAATACTCTACCTGATTCTGTGGTTTCTTCCCCAAACCCCAAAAACTTTAACCTTAGACTGTCTACTATTGACCTCACCCCTTTCCTAAGAGGTCTATAGGGGGCGTGCATAAGTGCATCATTGTGCCTAACGTCCCTGTCCTATTGTTTCTTTTATTTTTCTTATATGTACCCATTTCATGTATTCATAACTATGTATTTACTTATACCTATTATCTTGTAAGCAATTGACAAATCAAATAAAAAAATAAAATAGGTAGTTGTCTGTTCTTTCATTGGGCTACCAAGCCCTGGACTCCTAAGTACTTGATAAACTGGTGGTAAATCAGCACTTCTGTTGACTGATGAGGACCCTTTCCCAGGCTTCAATCACTTTCTTTGCTGGCTGTTTTTGTACCTGGGTACATTTTTTTTCCACATTTATTTAAACATTGTGTTGCTGCTTTCTGTACTAGAATACAAGTATTTTGTAGGGCTTTGCATTAATTCTGCTTCAAAGGAGAAAAATAAAGCTGGGCAGGGTGTGAATAAATTAATCTACATACTACACACTTACAATGTATTTGCCTTCCGACTAGAGACTGGCGCCATATCTAAATAAGGGATTACTAGCACAGCAACTCTTTAAAGAAGGCTGCATCTTCTTGTAGGACAGCAGGGATGTTCCAAAAAGGCACATGATGACATAGTCCTAAAGTTTTGGGCCTTAATCTGACAATTTTTCCCAATTTCAGAAAGTATAAATCATAGTGCTTGGACTTTTATTATGGAAGTGAGATCAGGTGATTCAAGGTGTATCGGAGCACGTATTTACCTTTCCCTTGGTACTGAACAATCTCTGTCATTGCCACTTTTCTCCTAGCACTTGTCCTATTAATAGATGTTTTAAAATTCCTATTGCATTTTCAGCTACTTCTCCCTATCTTGGAAACCAATCTCTCACTGGACAGTCAGCTTTCCAACCAGATAAAGGAGAAACAAGCAGAATTCCATAGATCTCTGGATACATATTATTTGGAGGAAAGATAAAAGCAATGCTGGAGGTACATTGAAAATGGCATCACAATAGCAGCATCAGCCCCATTATTCCTCACTGCACTATATAGGAAACAATGAGAAATTAATTGTTGTTGACTGTTTGCTAGTCTCATTCTATTTATAAGTCGAAACACTTTCCTTCTAAAGTAATTGACTCTGTTGCTGGCAGCAGGTTTCAGTTTTCTGCTTCTGTAAGAGATAGTTAGGCATACTATCGTTGTATGGTCTATGTCAGGGGAGTCAAACTCAATTTCATTGAGGGCCACATCAGAATTGGGTTTGACTTTGGAGGGCCGGTGGGGATGGGGATGGCCATGGTGGGCGTGGCCATGGTGGGCATGACAAGGGATCGCACCTCAGCGGACATGGTTTTATAAACTTATAAAAATAGGGAGACGTACATTTCTGTGGTTTTGTTTAGTACTCATTTGATCTACTTGGTCACCTTATGACTGGATCAAGAAACTGACTCCACAGGAAGACTAGAACTATAAATTGTTGACATTGGTTAAAATAGCAGAATCCTGCAAGCCTGAAAGGTAAAATATTTTACTTTTCCTCCTTTTTATAACCTTTTGAGTCAAGGATGGCCTCCTGGAGCACTTCAGAGGCCCTGTTTTGGGCATAGACGGCCTCCTGGACCACTCTGGATGCCCATTTTGGGACTGGAATGCCTCCTGGAGGGCTCCGGAGGCTAAAAGCAGTTGTGTGTGGTAGGGTGCACCCTGCTGGCACCCCATTTTTGGTAGCAGAGACACCATGGGCTGGTCTTTTGCTATTTCTAGACTGCCCCATGGGCCAGATCTAATCATCCCATGAGCCAAATTCGGCCCGTGGGCCTTGACTTTGATACCCCTGGTCTATGTCATCTTCTCTGAGCTAGTTTTTGCCTTGGTATCTCTCCCGATTTCCTTACATTGGAATGTTGATGAGGCATAGACAATGTCATTTTTGATAGACATGTGTTTGTGATTGGGAACTTCCCTTTATGTTATTTTAAATAAAGGGCTGGCCAAACATGCCGTGGGAAAAAGAACAATCAGTTCACAGAAACTAACAAAAATTCCCACAATTGTGCAATGATCCATCTGTTTGTGATGCAGCTTCTGGTACATGATTGTCTACTAGCTAGTTTGAAGATATTTATCAATGAGAAAATCAACCAGTATGCCTTTAAAGACCGGGCATTTTATTATATCAAGAATTACAGTAGAAGCAGAACTTATGTTAACAATATAGACAGCACGTCTACACCAACATTATTTGTGCAGCCCCAAAGAAAGGTGGAGATGGTAGAGAGGAAATGAGATTCAAAATGAAATGACTAACCGCATGTAAATATAAATCATGGATCAAAAACATAAAATGTTAGATAAGAAATTTCTATCCAGGCTATTTAAACATTTAGAAATAACACGATTTCGCTCTATTTTCCAATTGTACCCTGTACACTTCTTCTCTTTCCCACTATTCCCTCTCTCTCTTCTGAAGGTAAATCTCTCCCAAATTTGTGCATGTATATATGTTTCGGAAGGAAAATCAACTGGAACTATTGATAGTTTTCTCTCCATAATCGCAATTTTTGAAAAAAGGGGCAGTTTTGGAATATCACATATTTTAAAGAAAGGGGAGGACTTCTTTTCTCCCACTGCAACTTCACTTGATATTTAGCTCCTTCAGCATAGGAATTAACCTTAGACAAAAAAAAAAAGCTTGGTAGAAATGGAAACTTTTAAATGGTAAATTTAATTGTTATGGGGACAGGGGGCATTTACCAAGGGATTAGTATGCTTAAAGAGAAGAAGCTCAACCCTTCCCTTTACAGCTTTCTCCCTTGAATTTTTTTTTTTTTGAGTTGGTAGTTAAAGTTGGGCTCCCAGAGTTCAATGGATGTCAGCAGGTAATTTTTGGTATATCTTTGGTATCAACTAGTGATTGTCCAGATTTCTGGAACCCTAGTCTGCTAGCTCTAAATTAGGCTTTGGAAAATTAGCTTTGTGCTCACAAAGTGGCCAACAAATTTGGTTAGTATGAACTGAGCATTGAGCCTTTTAACTAGCTTACTGCTTAGGTACCATGTTGTCATCATGATATATAAACTCAACTAATGCCAACAAAGTTTGTTTTGTGTAAGTGTAATTGTGACAGCATATATAAAGAGATGAATTATTCCCTAATTGTAATCATCCTTGTAAATTCTCCACCCATATTATAGATCATAATTAGGTAGCTGATGGAAAAACAGAAACAGTGTCATTTTAATATTAATAGAAACTCTTGGAAAGACATTAAAATATTTGAGACTGAGGTGTATGTATATATTGTATATTGATGTTTAGGAATAGCTTTGGAAATTGTGATCAAAAATTGAAAGAAACAAAGGAAATAGGTTATCCTGAGAACTATTACAGAAGTATAAATGGGGTGGGGCACTAATGTACTTTTAGATGTTGATAAATCTCAGCTCAGCATTTTTCACTATTGTCCATGCAGACTGGAACTTCTGAGAATTGAAGTTTAACACATGTTATACTGTAGTAGTAGGTTCAGTTATCCCATAATCATAATCAGATCGATATTTCTTAAACTTTTTTTCAATACACTTTTCAAAATTATGGAGGACTGTTTGTGTGGGTAATATTTATATTTACCATACTAAAATTAGTGCATTCACTGTTGCTTCTCACGACAACTTGATGGGATTTTAATACTGTATTACTTTTCAACATGAAAGGGCAAATAATTTTGATTTTTTTTTCAGATCTCTAAGTCTTGGAGGAAATCCACCCCGGGGTCCTAGGATAGCACTTTTAAGAAGCACTGCTCCAGAGAAAGTTACTCCTTAGGCAAATTGGCTGTATCCCAACAACAAATTTAACCAAGTTCCTGAAGTTGCATTTGAACCACAGGTTGGTTACACTTGGTATTAACCCCGATTCATTGTTTGTGATTCAGTGTCTCAACCACTTCCACTGATGATAGAATACAGGGCTCAGTTTATCCAGTTGAGTAAAAGGCCGGTCAAATTTTCTCAGCCAGCAGCATCACAGTAGTCCCGGAGCGGCTTACGAGCTCGTTGGGAATTCTCTTTCCGCAGAAATCAGCCACAGCGGATGAAAAAGGAGGAGGAGGAGGAGGAGGCGTCGTGGCGTGCGGGTGTTTAGACAAGGAAACGAAAGCAAAAAAGCAGTCCGTTTCTTGGCCGGAGCGCCGGCCGAGGGGAAGAAGCCGCGGTTTACTTCGCAACATTGCACAATGTCCCAGAACCAAGTCAGCTAAGGGTGGAGGTGGGGGATCGTTTTGCTGAGCTGGTTGGGAGGCGTCGACGGCTCCTCCGAGTTCCGCTTTGAGGCTGCCCCGAGGAGATGTGGGTGTGCTTTGCTGACAGATCAAGTCGCCGTGCCCCTGACAGCTTTATACCACGGGGGAAAACAAAAAAGGCAGCTTAATTTTCTCGGAGGAAAACCGCCGCTGATGAAGAAGCGGGAAAGCCCGTCTTCCTCGCGACGGGTTTAGGATCTCCCGCTCGAGCAGGGGGGTTGGACTAGAAGACCTCCAAGGTCCCTTCCAACTCTGATTCCGATTCTAGCTGAGTGTGGCGGCGGGGAAGGTCGGAGCAGAAGGACAGGACAGGACAGGACAGGGCGGGGGCGGCTCTTGAACGGGAAGAGAAAAGCGCGCGGCTGGGCGGGGGCGGCTTGGTGGGTGCTGGGCCCGGAGGCACGTGCGCAGGGGAGAAAGCGGGAGCTCCGCGGGTTCGGCCTCCCTCTGGGAGGAAGCTTTTCCTCCCCCCCCCGCCCACCAAGGGAGCAGTTCCTCTTCTGGAAGGGACGCCTGGGGACGGCTTCGTCCTGCCCCCCCCTTCCTCCTCCTCCCCCGCTCTCGAGTAAAAAGTTTTGTGACTTCAGCCGCTTTTATGACTTCAGCCGCTTGGAGGATCTTAGCAACCCCTATGAGCTGGTGCGGCCTCTCCGCCGTCGGGCCTGGTGGCGGGGAAGGGCAGCCGTTAATCCCCCAGAGTGGCCGCTGGTGTAGCAGGATGTCCTGCTTCGCGCAAGGCGCGGCCTTCATCCCCACGTTCCTGGTCTCCTGGTCGTCGGCCGCCTTCATCCTCTCCTACGCGATCGCCGTGCTTAGCGGCCATGTGGAGCCGCTTTTCCCCTATATCAGGTGAGTGGTAGAAGAAGGAGAACAGCGCTCCCTCTTGGCCTCTGAGGAAAGACCTTGGTAGATGGGGCAACATAGGGCTGAAAGACTGAACTTGCGGTCGATGGTTTAAATCCATCAAAATTAAATTAGGGGAGTAAACGTTTTCCCTACTCTCAGTCGAGAGCACTTAGTATCTTGACTGTTGCCCCAAATGGGGCAGAAGTGTGGTGGGTCACCTGTCCTGGCCAGGCGGAAGGCTTCCCAGGCGTCTCCATGATGTTCTCTAACTCTCTACAACATGAACATCTGGATCTGATCTTTTCTGCATTTCATTTTAAGGACAGTCGGGTTGATTCATTCTGCGGATTCTGTAATGTGAGCTAAAAAAGGTTCTGGGGAGGCTTTGTGGCAGTGGTGGGATTCAAATTTTTTTACTACTGGTTCTGTGGGCATGGCTTAGGGTCACATGACTGGGTGGGCATGGCTTGGTGGGCATGTGACTGGGATGGTCATATGACTGGGCGTGGCTTGGTGGCCATGTGATGGGTGGTCATGGCTGGGCGTGGCTTGATGGTCATGTGACTGGGATAGTCATGACGGCATGGCTTGATGGTCATGTGACTGGGTGGGTATGGCCAACTCTATGTCACTCACGTCAAGGGGTGGCTAGCCTGGCCCCTCCCTTCCCAGACAATTCTTATCACACCCAGCCTCAACATATCTATAGTTCTGTAAAAATGTTGTTCACCTTTTGTTGGATTTATTATCTATGTACTATAGATGTACTTTCATGGACCACTGAAAGGAGGAAATGGCTCACATGCTTTGCCCAAAAGGGTGATAGGCAACAGGATTTTAGGAGTTGCTAGAAAGGGGAGGGGGGATGTATTTTCCAAAGCAAGATGGAAACTGAACAGAGAGAGAAGCAACCTAAAAGTAAGGAGAAACTTCCTGACAGTGGGAACAATTAACCAGCGGAATTGCTTGCCACCAGATGTTCTGGGTGCTCCAACACTGGAAGTGTTTAACAAAAGACTGGACAGCCATTTTTCTGAAATGGTATAGAGTTTCCCCCAAGGTCCCTTCTAAGTGTTATTCTGTTATTCTGACACCTTTCCCAGGACCTTTCCCATTCAGATTTTGGCACCCTCAGTTTTCCTGTCTGAGCAGGGGGTTGGACTAGAAGACCTCCATAGTCCCTTTCAACTCTGTTAAGTGCACCCGTATTTATGCTCTGGACTGTTGACTTGTAAACCCTGAAAAATACCTGGGCAAAAGAAAGGCAGTAAAATTACTCTAGGTGTAGGGACAGTGTAAAATATAAGATAAATAATGGAACAATTAAAAATAATAGCACTGAGTTTTGTCTCTCACCCTCTTCTTTCTTTCTCTTTCTTTCTCCCCCTTCCTCTTTCTTTCTCTCTTCCTCTCTCTTCCTCTTTTCTTTCTTGCTCTTTCCTTCTTGCCCTTCCTCCCTTCCTGTCCTTCCTTGACTCACACACACACACACACACACCTTTTCTGGGAAGAACTTATTGGGCAAACTCCAGAGAGGCACAATGAAGAAAGCAGCAGCCCTGGAACATCCATCCACTCTCCCTTTCGAAGCACATGGACGGCAGTGGTGGTGGGCAGGGGCGCCCTGAAACGCAGGGAGAAAGCGAGTGGGAAGCCTTTCCGTTTCCATTCTCTGCTGCGCTGGGGCTGGAGCTGAGGGGGTGGTGGAGGCAGTGGCAGGGGTGCCCCGAAAGGGAGGTCAGGAACTCCTGGGGCTGCTTCCCATAGCCATGTTCTGGCTGCCGCTGCCTCCCCCCGCCCTCTGGACTGGCCTGAAAAAGACGCCCCACCTTGGTCTCCTCCTGCCTGGAAAGTCCCAGGCGGTGGGGGTGGGGGAAGCCCGGAAAGGCCCCGGGGGTTGGGCAAGGACCTAGCATGATGCAGGCTTACCTGTGAGCAGAGCAGGCAGATCAGGGCTGCTCAGTTGGGGTGCAGGCACCACATGGGGAAGTCAGGTTAGTCAAGCCATGAGGGCCCAGCGTGCCACATAGGAAGGGAGGAGTGACTGGGCAGGGTGGGTGGCAGGCGGAAAGCTGCACAAGCGAGTGAGCATCGGGTGGGTGGGGCAACTGAGGACCAGTGACCAGGGAACGGTTGGGGGGGGGGGCAGCCAGAAGTCTCTACCAATTCCGCGACCCATGCCAAATTCTTGCTACTGGGTCACCAGAACTGGTGCAAACTGGCTGAATATCACCTCTGCTTTGTGGGATCTCAGGGACCACCAAACTCATACTTTTAAATCCTGAGGACCACTAATACAATTTTTTTAAAAGCTAATATATTTAATATAATTTTAATTATAAATTTATATGTATATACACAGAGAGAGAGAGAGAGAGAGAGAGGGAGTATATTCAGCTTTGTTCGGGTATTTTCTCACGTGATTATAGTTGTGCTTTTAAAGTTATAGCAATGTTCCAGCAGAATCTCATCTTCCATCATCAGGTTTCTATATTGTGTTTGTCTGTGAGTCAGACTTTCACAGCCGTTTCAGTTTTAAATTTCACTATTCACTCAAGTCCCGATAAAAGAAACTCTTGAAATCATCAGAAATAAATACCAACCAGCTAAACACCTCATGGGACTAGCAGAACACTGCTTAACCAATACATATTTCATATACAAAGGACAAAGGTACAAGCAAATTGAAGGAGATCAATATGGGATCACCACTGTCACCCGTTGTTGCAAACCTGTTCATGGAAGAATTTGAATCCAGAGCCCTAGCTAATGCCACCCACAAACCCAAACTATGGTTAAGATACATCAATGACATTTGTGATTTGGCCCCATGGAAAAGAAAACCTAAACCATTTCCTAACACACCTAAACAGCACACACCCCAAAATCAAGTTCACCATGGAAACGGAAACAAACAAACTACCATTCCTAGATGTACTAATCTACAAAAAAGATAGCACACTAGGACACACCATATACCAGAAGAAAACACACACCAACCGCTACCTCAAGGCCCAACCTCCCAGCACAGATAAACTCCGTGGCCAAAACATTAATTGCCAGAACCAAACGCCTGGTAGACAAGACACACATAAAGACTGAACTATGCACCCTGACTAAAGTACTGACAGCCAACGGCTTCCACAAAAGCAAAATCACCAGCTTGATCCACAAAAATACACTGAGATATAATGGAGACCCAGAAGATGAACAGACCTATGGAATAGCTGTCCTGCCCTACATAAGAGGGACTACAGACAAAATCAGTAAAATACTACACAGGCATCACATCAAGACTGCCTTCAAAACAGACAGCAAAATAGCAGCCATCCTTAGAAACCCCAAAGATAAAATTGACCTGGAAAACCAAGGCATATATGAAGTCCCCTGCACATCATGCCCTGCCACATACATCGGAGAGACCAATAGAAGAATAAGTACCCACCTGGATGAACACAAAAATGCAGTAAAAAAGCTGGAACACACTTCCTTACTAGTCCAACACATGAAAGCCACAGGTCATAGCGTCGACTTCAATGGCACCAAAACCCTAGCCACTATAGAAAACCCCAGTTCCAGGATTATCAGAGAAGCCATAGAGATTGAAAAGAGACCTGAAAGCATGAATAGAAGAGATGACTCCACCAGATTGTCAATTATCTGGAAGCCTGCACTCTCAAACAAAAAAAATCTCCACAAGCCAGCCAAACACCTGGGCACAAACAGACCCCTCCATACCTCCAGCTCAAACACACCCCAACCAGGCACCCAGATGAAACCTAGCTTCCTAATAAATGATAACTGTCTGTTTACTCAGAGCCAAGCCACACTAAAAGCCTCCAATACAGGAAACAACAACGTTGCCAGCCAATCAAGACAAAAAAATGCTACAAAACAGACAGAAGATATTAGAAACACCAATCAAGCAGAACACAGCAAACTCCAAGACCAATAAACATAGTCCAAGACTCCCAACCAATCAGGATGAAGAAAAAACCATTCTGGCACAGCAGTAGGGTAGCACCAAATTTAAAACAGAAACAGCTGTGAAAGCCTGACTCACAGACGAACATAATACGGAAGCCTGATGATGGCAGATGAGATTCTGCCGAAATGTCGCTACAACTTTAAAAGCACAACTGTAATGATGTGGGAAAATACCCGAACAAAGCTGAATACCGTATGTACATACATACATACATATATACGGTACATACATACATACATACATACATACATACATACATACACATACGTATACACATACACATACGTATACACGCACATACACACACACACACACATTTAATTATAACAAAAATATAAATGCTTAATGATAACAAAATAAAACATTCTGGGCTGGAAGCCACCCCCCACCTGGCACCTTCCAAAGAGACAGAAGAGCGGGTGGTGTTTGTGTGTGTGTGTCTGAGCTGAGGGGCCTCGGGGCAACTGCCGCTGGGAGAAGCAGAGGCAGAATGCTCTTCTTGGGGGGCAGCGCCCCTTGGCTGCCACTCCAGGGGCTTCTCAGCAGGCATCTGCCTGCAGAAGGACTGCTGCCCTTATTGATTAATTGGGCAGGGGAGCGGGAGAAAGTGGGAGCTCCTTTCAGATCCCGGGTGGAGGATTGAGAGGCTCAAATCTGCAGCTGAGGAAAAGCTGGGAGGGGGGGCTCTTCCAGCCTCACCTGGAGACAGGCAAGGAAAGGTGTCCCTGGGGAGACTTCAAGACGTGCATGGCCCAGATTAATTGCTTTTGGGGGCCTTTTCTTCTGTGGTCCACAGCAACCGCTGTTCTATGGGTTGTATGTATATACCATAGTGCCAGTGGCTCTTAGTTGTTTAGTTGCCTTATTGATGGGGTATTAAGCCATTGATTGTTGTTTCCTTGTGCTGCTCGGCCCTCGGCTCTTAAGTACCTGGTAAGATGGTGGTAAATCGGCATTCCTGATTGAAGCCTGAGAAGTGGGGCCCCTTATCTGTCAACAGCACACACATCTGGGAGATTGAGAAGTTCTGTGGCGATGGGCAGCGGGTCCCAGTGGCCCAGTCAGATTGGATCCTGCAACATTATCCTGGAATACCTGTATTTGCCTTTATTCAGGTACATCTGGACCGGACTGCTATCTGAAACCCCACTACATGATGGTAAAACAATGCAGAAAAACCAGCTCTTTGCTGCCATCTAGTAGATACTCAAGTCTTGTTCTTTCCCTCTGTTCATCATAGTGACAATGGCTGTTTACAATGTAAAAACAACCCTGGGTTTTTCCCAACTAAAGACATTAAGGAGCATCTATGGTGGGTGGAGTGTTTTGTCTTATGCAAAGTCTGTTTTTGCTAAGGAATTTAAACCTATCAAAATGCAGACTTCTAGCAGAAGAAAAAAGTATTTGCAAATGCTTTTAGTGGTCATTAGTTGCTTCTATTCTGACAGTAATAAGTTTAAAGAAAAAACAAAACACAAACCCTTTATTTCTGCAGATAGTTGCAGCAAATTCCATTTTCTAAGAATTTGCGTTATCTGTAATATTTTGAAATTTTTGGAAGTCTTGGTCCAAAGTGATTAAGAACTATTTTTCCAATACATGAGAATATTTATAGTTCTGGATTGAGATGAGGGGTAGTTGGTGCTCTTTGAGCTTGGTTTTCATTAACCCAAACTAGGTAATATTATCGGTGCTAGTAGGAAATGGCATTTGCTCTAATTTTATATTCTAGTAGTGGTTTGCCCTTTCAGTATTGGTGGAACGGTCTTGGTAATTCTTTGGTTGAGCTGTCCCAGAGGTGCTTTTTCAAAAGGCAACTGGACTTTGTTTTTCCTTGAAGATGTTTCGCTTCTCATCCAAGAAGCTTTTTCAGTTCAGAAGTTTCTTGGATGAGAAGTGAAACATCTTCAAGGAAAAACAAAGTCCAGTTGCCTTTTGAAAAAGCACCTCTGGGACAACTATGACCTGGATGTCTGAGAGTCTCCATAGACACTTTGGTTGAGCTGTTTACTGTTAACTTGCTTGGCAGTCCTTTTATTGAGGTGTTATTTGCTTCTTGATGGTTGTTCTAATGTTATTCTGGGTGTTGATTGCTAATGTAGAGGTGTTCTGACTTTTTGCTGCACTTTTGGCTTGTTGTCTTTTTTGAATGGCTGATGTCAACCCTTAGTAGTCACATTCATAGAAATTGATCTGACAAAGACCCGTGTCAATGTCCTTCATCTTAAAATCACATCTCATCAACTCTGCAGTAAAAACAGATTCTGCGTGTGCCAGATTGGGACCAGTGACATGTTGCTTTAGTTATATAGGTAAAATGCAGAATAAAAGGATATTTTTTCCTTCATGACTGGTTTGCATTTTTAACAGTCAGTGCTGAAGTTAATAACATGTACTTAATAATATTTAACATTTAATAATGTTTCTTCTAAATCCGATACAAATGAATCTAATACAAATGAATGACATTGAACAATTTTAATTATTTGCAATGCACTTGTTACATTAAGTGTTTCAGAAAAAGTTCCAATTGTACTTTGATCAGAGGTGCAGCAGATTCCATTCTCATCTTACATAGAGCTCTTAAAGGTTTTGAAGTGATCACAGTATTTAGTATTTAGGAAGTATCAGTCTTTAGTTGCAAAAGCACTTCAAATTTCTTGAGTGTTTCACTTGCAGCTTTGGTTCTCAAACTTATTTCTAAACAGTGAATTAATTAACACATTATGAGTATTTTTGAAAGTTACACTAACAAAATTAATATTTCATTGCCATAAATATTGAAGGTATTCAGCTGACGATTGGCAGAGGCCAATTTTCTATATTTCTGTTTGAGATAAACTACACGTGACAGGAAAATTGGGTGTATTTTACTTCAGAGCAATCACAGAATAGTCCACATTAAATGAATTAGCTATGCCTTGTTTTGCGGGCGGGGGGGGGGGGGGGGAAAAAATGAAAGAAGTATTGGCATGTATATTATTAGATTTGTAAAATAACACAGGATGAAGATATCTGTTGGTATTTTTTAAAAAAAAATAGGTATAATTTAAATTTTTAACATTAGATATATATTCATGGTAAGTATACTTTCTAACAAATGGAATTAAAGGTTATGGAAATCATATAGAAATGAAAAAACAAATGAACATATTTCCTGGGATTTGCTTCATGTACTTAGGACTGAATATGTAGTGTCATACCCTATTTTCCCTGAAAATAAGACCTAACTGAAAAATAAGCCCTAATGTGTCTTTTGTGGTAAAAATTAATATTAGACCCCGTCTTATTTTCAGGGAAACATGGTACATAGAGCGGGAACTGTAAACCAAGTGCTAAGTGGCTATTTGGCATGCTAATTTTGGTATCCCCAGTTGTTAGCTCAGAAATGTAGAAGATGGAATTAAAGCCACTAAAGCTGTCAAATCATAGATTTAGCCATCTCTTGGATCATTAGCTGTGCCCAACAGTATATTGCTTCCCAGAGTCACTTGATTAAGTGGAATGGCTATAGAAATTCAATGAATGAATGAATGAATGAATGAATGAATGAAATAAATAAATAAAATAAAAGTAAAATATTGCTAATCCACTCATTTCAATATTCTCATCCATATTTCAGGATGTACTTCAGCACTTCAAATGAAAAATAAGCCATGCCTAGGTGTGTACCAGAACACCCTTTCTAGGAAGTTAGATCAATTGATAAAATTAAATATCCATCCAAGTACATAGGCATAGAATCAAATTGCAACCTTAGGTCTGTATGTCAGATGATGAATCAGAATTTTTATGAATTACAAGTGCCTAAGTTATTAAGCTTTTGGGGGACATTTCTCACAAATAATCATAGAAATTATGCCTTTCTCTGAGTTATATCATTATCAATTTAATTAGATGTATACAGGAGTGTGTAGTTTCCAGGAGTCAATTTTGATTTGAAAAATATATTACTCTAAATGTATAATTTGTATATTAACTGTTGTCATTTTTATCTTTTGTGTTAGTGATACAGGAGCAAAACCTCCAGAAAGTGGTATATTTGGATTTATGATTAATGTTTCTGCATTCTTAGGTATGTAGCTATTTATACCTATTTGTTAACTTAAGAGTTGTAATGATTAAATATTTCTAACAATTCTGTCTCCAGATGGATTAACTTAATTCATTTATACATAATACTTCACAAATGTCATACAGTATATTCATCTGGTAGTCCTTAAGTTAACAACAGTTCACTTAGTGATCATTCAAATTTACAACGGCACTGAAAAATGTGACATGACCATTTTTCACACTTATGACCGTTGCAGCATCCCCATGGTCATGTGATTTACATTCAGATACTTGACAACTGATTCACATTTATGACAGTTGCAGTGTTCCAAGGTCTTATGATCCCCTTTTGCCACATTTTGACAAGCAAAGTCAATGGGGAAACCAGATTCACTTAACAACTGTGTACTAATTTAAGAATGCAGTGATTCACTTAACAAACATGGTACGAAAATTCATAAAATGGGGCAAAACTCAATTTGTTACAATTTCTCACTTAGCAACATAAATTTGGGGCTCAGCTATGGTTGTAAGTTGAGGACTACCTATACTTTAAAATCATCTAATAAATCTTGATTGTGAATCATGGCTGTATATCTTGACTATCAATTTGATTAATCACAGGTATCCTTGTCTAAATATACAAAATGGAATAATTTAGTCTGCCCTATAATGTATATCTAGAATTATTCATTATTAAACAATTTCATAAAGTAGCATTTTGTCTTTTAAGGTGTGTGTGATTAATTGAATATGACTGCAGCTTTGAAAACATGGGCATTGTGCAAATATAATTATCAAATAACTTATAATGAGTATAATTTTAATTGTAATATTCATAGGAGTAAGGATATGGTCTAACATCAGCTCAAGCAAAGAGCTCATGTTGGTCCTGCCTGTTCTTGTGACACGTTGAATTATGTTGCTTGATCTGTAGCAGGGGCTATATTCTCTACTTAGAGTCACTTTTACTAATGACGTTTGTTGTTCTATAAAATACTATTTACATTTATGATGATGTGTACAGAGAAACAGTCTTCATTGGGTTTTCCACTATTGAAGATAGGCTATTGAATTTCATAGATGCACCCTGAAATATTCTAGATTGAATACAAGAAGAAGGCAGGCTATGTTATAACTATGTCTTATTTGCGTTTGAGTAATATTTACATACAGATAAACTATTTTAATACTTCCTATGTGTCATATCTTAGAAATGCATATGATTGGTTCTAAATAAATGACACCAAGTCAGGATATTGCCACAGTTTTGTATCATCTTCCTTTGTTATTTTAACCCATTTGCTTGTGGATTATGTTCTAAGTCTGTTCTTATTTTAAAGGCCTGAGTGTTTCATAAGAGGATACTTAGGGACTGCTTTTTCTACTGCAGTATATTTTCTTTTGTGTATTCAATCTGTCTCTCTGCTACCTCTTCTCCTTGATCCATATTTTGCTCTCTGAAACTAGACGATATTTGTTTTTAAATCATTATTTTATTTTTTACCATCATGTGGCTCTTATTGGTTTACAGAGAAAAACATTCAATAAATCAAAATTAACAAAACAGTCATCACAAAATGAAATATTTTAAAATGGGAGCAGATAAACAATTCCACAGTACTGAACTGTCTGTCTGAATTAGGTAAATTAAAGTGGAAAAGCTCAGTTTTAACTTGCTACTAAAAGGTTGAATTGGAGCAATCTAATCTGTAGTAGTAGAAATCTAATCTGTTGTGGTAAACTATTTCGCAAGAGATCTGCAGTCATTTTCTAGCCTCAGCTCTGCTGATTATCTGATAGTGAGGGAGGTTTCTGTCATAGTGGTATGATTACTATGTTACTGTTTCTTGTTATCTACTGCTTTTATTAACTGAGTAAAAGTTCTGCAGTAGCTTTTTAGAATTTCATCATTGGAAGGGATGTTAGAGATTGTTCAGACCAACCCTCTGCCAGTGCAAGATTCCATAAATCATCTTCAGTAGACAAACATCCAGCGTCTGATTGGAGACTTTCAGCAAAGGAAAAATCAACATATTTGTAGACTCCACAAGGTGGTCACTTGTCCATCAGAAGTTCTTTCTGATATCTAGCCTGATCATACTTTGTAGTTTTAACCATTGGTTCTGGTTCTGTGTTCTGGGGCAGTGGAGAATTAATCTGTTCTCTTTTGTATTTGACAACTGTTTATAGACCTGGAGACTGCTATCATATTTCCTTTCAGTTTTCTGTTCTGTATGATAAACATACCCATTATTTCTTATAGGACGTAGTTTCTAGACCCTTCACCCTCTTGATATTGTCTTCTGAAGTTGTTCCAGTTTGTCACTGCTGTTTCTGAACTATTGTGACCAAAACTAAGCACAGTATTTCAAAATCTGCCCAGAACAGAATAGACAAAACCAATTACATATTGTGATGTGGGCTCTATACTTCTGTTAGTGCAGCCCACTTGTTTTTAGCAGCTACATTAAGTTGCTAATTTGAAATTCATAAGAACACTCAGGTCCTTTTCATATACATACCACCAAGTTTAGTCTCCCCAATCTGATATTTGTGCCTTTAATTTTTTTCTATTGAAATGCATAACTTTATATTTTTCATAGTTAAATTCTGTCCTATTCATTATAGCTCACTGCTGAAGCCTTGTAAAACATTTAAAATCCTTTCCCCACTTCACCCAGCTTTGTGTAATTTGCAAACTTTATAAGTATCTCCTCAACTCCCTCATCCAAGTCACTGATAAAACTATTGAGTAACACACATCCCAGGGTAGAGCTTATGGTGCTTCATTTGATATTTCCCACCAAGTTGGAACATTGCAAGCTTTTTGTGGGGGGCTGAAGTTATTCAGGCAGTTATGAGTATTCAGGATCCAATATGGGTTGGTCACCAGGACCAGAAGTTTCATCTTCCAAGCTTTTGGACTCATGCTGGAGCCCATCCTTAGAGGAACTTCTCTCTGGCAGAGAATGACACGTATTTTTGCCTTCCTTTGTGAGTCATGAAAAGAAGGTTGCAAAAGAGGATCATGTGATGACCCAGGGTGGGATACAAAATAAACATAGTCACAAAAACAGGTAAAGCCCCTTTTATTCCTTCCCTTTGCTTTAATGCTCCAAATATCTTTGACGAGACAAAAAACTCCCCCACAAGCTGTTAAGAAAAGGAGGAAATGCCATTTAAACTAAAAATGCCTATAAATTATAAAGAATAAAAATAACACAAAGCACACTGAAGCAATTAAGGAAACCAGGCAAGATAAGGGCTTGAAGACGTCCACAGATATCGGAACACACACTGGGAAGGAAGCCAAACTCAGAACGACAGACGAGAGATATTTCCACACTTTGTTTCCAGCACTGGCCCATATACATGTCCATCCTTTTAACCAGTTCTCACAGCTGCAGCCCATGAAGAGAATCAAGGCGCTTTCCTCCCCCGTAGACCACACCATTCATGTCTCTCCCTTATCCTTTGCTCCCTGCGTGCCCTAGGATGGAGAGGGGATGGGCCTGGGTCTTCCTCTGACTGCCCAGCCATCCTCTGCCCTTCCCCAGCCTCCTCCACAACCTCTGGAGCCACACTTCCACTCCCTGTCAGCTGTTCATCCTCTCCCTTGGAGTCAGTCTCCAACAGGAGCATGACAGATCAGGTGACCTTGAGACACTGCAACAGTCATAAATATGAACCAGCTGTCAAGCATCCAAATGTAAATCACATGACCATAGGGATGCTGCAATGGTCATAAGTGTGAAAAATGGTCATAAATCACTTTTTCAGTGCTGTTGTAACTTTGAACATCACTAAATGAACTATTGTAAGTCAAGGACTACCTGTACAAACTAAAAAGAAATGGGAAAAAAGAAAGAAAAACAATAGAAATGGAATTAGAAAAGAAATAAAAAATTATATAGTAAAGAAAAAGAAAATAAATATATAAAAAGTGACTTCTCCCTTTACCTTAAGTACAAGTAAAATTTTAAACGGATCACTTTTTCTTAAAATACAACCAATCTCTTCTTCAAATATTCTGTCTCTTACCTATAAACAAAGCCATGTAGCTCAGTTATTTCAGTCTGATGTCAGGATCCTTCAGTATGTTCAATATTGAAATATTTTGCTTTATTCTGTAAGTCAAATTTAAGTGTTTTCCTTTAATTATAAATCTCTAGTTCCCTCTAGTATCCAGTTTTTATTTTATTTTTTTAAATTAAAAGCATTTTCCCACTGGTAGAATTAGTTCTAATTAATTTCAAAATCTTATTTCAAATTTGTCCCAACCTTTGTTTGTAATTTTCTAAATCAAAAGTTTTAATCATTCTTTACTGCTTATTTCTCCATTTGTTAAAAAAAACCAAAACCTTAAACTTTTAGTTAAAACTTCTTTTACAAAGGATTGAAGGAGATTCAATGCCATGTTGATCCAAAGATCCCTAATAACTGAACAAAAGCAAAAAAAAGGGCTTCCGGTTTTAAGTCTCTTTGGCGACAGACAGAAATCCGCGATTGTGCACAGTTTTGGCCTGGGCTCGCTGCTGGAGCACCCCAAGCCAGCTGGTTTCGGGGCTAAGCCACCCCATAGAGGTGGTGAAGAGGGGGGAGACCGCCAGCAGGGTTGAGGAGAGCCGCATCTCTCCTCCTCAGCTGGCCATAACTCCCTTTCCCGAAGGTGGTTGCAGCGGTGGTCAGAAATGGCCACCTCAAAGAACTCGACCGGAAAAGAATGTGCAGGAGGAAGATGAGAAGTGAAAGTTTTGGCTGACCGGTTAAATTGTAAAAGCAACAACTAAGGTACCCTGGAATTTAAACTTACAAAAAAATAACATCACTCCCAAAGAAGAGTCGGAAGCAGCGAAGGAAAGTGAAAAGGGAAAGGTTTGGCTTTTTTCCCCCTTCTCTCTCCTTCCCTATACTGACAACTAAGAGACTTAAACAAGAAATCGGAAAAATCCGCTTTGACATCAATAGGCAATTAAGCTGAAAATAAAATAAAATGCCAAAGGGATAATAAAGATTTCTGGACACTATTTTTTTTTTCATAAGCAGGAAGGGAGAGAAAAAGAAAAAGGGCAGGATCTGGAAGAGGGAGGAGACTGCCTGGAATTAAAAAGAATCTACAGTAAAACTTCAACAAGACTTCTAAAAGATACATTTTAACTGAAACTTTGTAAATAAACAGTAACCCCAAGAAGAGAAAGTGAAAAAAAAGAGCAAAAAGAAACAGCTTGCGTGTATTTGGATTATTTGGTGATCTTTGGATTCTTGGTTATTACATTTGAATGACTAAAATTAATCGGGTGGTTGTTTAAAAATTTATACAATGGCACCACTTCTGGATGAATTGAAAATGGAACTTAAAAAGTACAAAGAAGATGCACAAGAAGGGAAGGGTTCTTTTGGCTTCGTTTTTCAATTCTTAGAAATGGAGATTTGGAACTATGAGAAACAACAAGAAACGTCTGCAAAACAAGAAGACTGAGACAAAGAAGAAGCCATCTTTAATGAACAAGCAATGCTATGTGGGGAAGAAAAAGGAAGGGGGAAAGAGAATGGAGAATTTAAGATTTAAAAAAAAACAACCAAAGAAAAGAAAAATAATTCAAAAAATAAGTATAATACTGGAAAGCTACAGAAGAGAAAAATAGAGGTAGAGAGACAAGGGGGTAAAAAGGGGAGAGAGAAGAAGAGAGGGAAGAAGGAAAGGAAAAGAAGTTACGAAGGACAGAAACAAGATATAGAGAAACAGGGCCTATTTAGAGATAATGGGTGAAAATTTAACTGAAAAAGGGATTCTGTAAAGGTATATAAGAATTGTATTGTTATATTAGTAATAGAAATAATTTTAGAAAATTGGAAACAATGTATGATTAAAATGAGGGATAAAATAGTTACTGTAATCTAATGAAATGTTTGTTAATAAAATATATGAAATAAAATAAATGAGAAAATTGAATTAGGAAGGGACGGGAACATTTTAATTAGTTAATGTTTTATAAAATATAAGTGAAGAGGGGGGGGAATTAATTATGGAAAGCTTATAATTGTTCCCAGAGAAGTATATTTAATTGAAAAGTAATGTTAAAGAAGTTAAGTCTTTAATGAATATTAATATTAATGATAGAATTGAATTGGAATGGAATGGAATGTGTTGTTTTAATTACATACATTTATAATTTTTTCTTTTTTTAAGAATATAGTGTATATTTTAAGAATGTACCAAGCAGAATCCGAATGGAAGTTATGTATTATATTGAATGTTATAACCTTAGGGTATATATTGAAGCCTAAATAAGAGTTAAATGGATAAATTTAAAAGATATAAAGGCGTCATACTCCAATCAGTAACTACAGGAGAAATTTTGTTTAATGAGAAAAGATAATAGATAATTGAAACAGGACAGACAAAAAATACAAATATAATGATTTGAATTGAGATGAGATAATTAAAATAAAATTGAGAAAATTAAAAGAGGGGAGAAGCTATGCAAAAAATGTAAAATAGTAATAAGATATGGAATAGAATATAAAAATCAGCATGAACTTGAATTTGTGTCTGTACGAAGAAATGTAACCTGGGATTAGGCTACTTTCAAAAAAGATGTTTTATTTGTATTTTTTTTCTTTTTGTGAAAACTCAAATAAAATTTACAAAAAAAAAAGCAAAAAAGGAGGTCTTAGTGTCTTTTCAAGGATGCCAAACATGGCTTGAGCACGTTGATTATTTTCTTATCTCCCAGAGCTCTAAACCCAACAGAGATCACTAACTTGGAGGAATAGCTGTCTGAAGCATTTTAGGCAATCTCAAGTCCTTTCATTGTCTGGAAAGGAATTATTTCTAGTGATCCTGAGAATGTAGCACAAACAAATTCTTGGGAACGCAGAGCCCTGATCCAAATTTTATTTCTTGATCAGTTTAGAAGGGACTGGTTATTGGAAAATAATTTTGGGGGTGAAGTACAATGTCGTGACAGTTACAGTTTAAGAACTCTGTATACCATATTTCCCCCCAAATAAGACCATGTCTTATATTAATTTTTGCTCTAAAAGACACGTTCTGGCTTATTTTCTGAGGAAATATGGTACTGAATGCATTCGTCTGGCTGACAATCTTAACTGGGACTTATTTTGGGGGGTAGGGCTTATATTAGGAGCATCCTATAAAACCGTGCTAGGGCTTATTTTCCAGTTGGGTCTTATTTTCAGGGAAACACAGTCGTATATTTATTATGTAAGTAAAATTATTCTCTGTGTTGTCAGGACCAAACTTACTTTTGTATTGCATTATTGGTCTTTAAGACAATTTGTGTACATTTTTCTCATTTATTTTTTTCAGGTGCACTTACAATGTACATAAAATATTTAATTGTAAAGAAACAAAATGAAGTGACTCATTTTGTTTCCCCTTGTTTCAACTTATTGACATTGTACGTTGGAATTCTGGGTTCTATTGGATTGGGCATTGTTGCAAGTTTTCAGGTAAGTAAGAAAGATACATTTATATTTTATTTATTAAACTTATATCCCATTTCTTCTTCAATGGCTTACAAATGATTAAGAATATTATAGGAACATTAAATGCATTCATGTGACCAACCTTTTAAAATAACTTAGTACATATCAAGAAAGAATTAGAGCAATATACAAGTAGTTATCAATTTACAACAGTTCATTTAGTGACCATTCAAAGTTACATCCATGAAAAAAGTGACTTACAACCATTATTCACACTTACAACCTTTGCAACATCCCCATGGTTATGCGATCAAAATTTGGATGCTTGGCAATTGGTTCATATTTATTATGGCTTCTGTGTTCTGGGATCATTTGTGATCTTCCGACAAGCAAAATTAATGGAGAAGCCAGATTCACTTAATAATTCTGGTATTAATTTAACAACTGCAGTGATTCACTTAATAACTGTGGCAATAAAGGTCATAAAATGGGGCAAACTTCATTTAACAACTGTCTCACTTAGCAACAGAAATTTGGGGCTCAATTGTGGTTGTAACACGAGGATTACTTGTGGTTATTTCCTTTTCCAGAGAAAGCATCAGTTTACAAATTTCTATCAGAAGAATCAGTACAAATACAATATACTAGTAGTTCCTGCAATGTGGTGACCTAGGTGGTAACTTGAGGCTGTCCTGTAGTCTAGAACTGATTGCAATCAGATGCTCAGTTCACTAGAGGTAATGAGTACATGTTCAGCAGAGACTTCCCTCTAAACATGCCCTCCAAACAAAGACAACATTGGTGAGATATCAAGATACAAGATCCTTCTTTTCATTTGCTCTTAGCTTAATGGCATAATAATGCCTTTCCTCAATGTCTATGAAGATTCTCAATCATCCAGGTCATGGTTGTCCCCAAAGTGCTTTTTAAAGAGGCAACTGGACTTTCTGGTTTTACTTTGAAGATGTTTCGCTTCTCATTCAAGAAGCTTCTTCAGGAAAAGCTGAAGGAGCTTCTTGGATGAGAAAGCACAATGTCTTCCAAGAAAAAACAGAAAGTCCAGTTGCCTCTTGAAAAAGACCTTTGGGACAATGCCTTTCCTAAATAATTTAAACTACAGTAGATGTGCATAGTATGTAAAACAAAACTCCAGATATGCATGTTACTGATAAATCTTTTGTTCTTGACATGAAATGGTAGTTTCCAAGAATTGCTTTGCTAATTCTCCAAATCTGCTTGAAATAGATGAGGGACTTTCTGAAACAGATTTAAGACTAAGCAAGGGGAAGTATACAACTGGAAAGATTACATAATATCAGCATTTGCAGAAAATTTGAGAGAGCAATAATAAAACTACATCCATGAAGTGATATAATTGTAAATTCTGTCTTACTCATTTCAAGAGTACAGATACGTTATTTATTAGTCTCACGGGGCCCATTTAATATGGGTCATGAAGAAGGCAAGTTATGCTTGGGTTGAGTTGACATTTAAGTAGGATGGAAATGATATTGTTATAAACCTGAAGTTCGTGTTGAACTGTCTTCAACCGCAAACTGAACTATGTTATGAAATCATTCACAAAATATGACATAAACAAAAATGAGCTTTCAATAAATAAAATCAAGATTAAAGGAAACATCTGTGCATAAAACAATAGCCAATGTTGTATTTACAGTTAACATATAAACTGAATAAGATCTTTCTCTCTGTGTCCTCCAATTTCCCCAGCTACTTCCTAGTAAATCAAGTCAGTGGTATTTATTTAAAAAAATCTATCCTCTTCACAAATTACCATACAGGTACTTAACACCTGATGGGACCCAGAAGAAGGGCCTTCTCTTTGGTGGCTTCCTCTCTCTGGAACATCATCTCCCCAGAGATTAGAATGGCCCCCACTCTAACTGAACACCTGGTTTTGCCAGCAGGTCTAGAGAATGCAGAGCGGGATGGAGTGCATTAAATGGCTGGTGGGATATGTTGTTGCCAGGGTGGGAGATTATTTTATTATGTTATTTTATTAATGTATTATTCTCTCTTTTATTAGTTTTACTGTTTTTATATTGTGTGTGTGTATTTTTTTCCCTTGTAAGCCGCCTTGAGTCTCATGTGCGAATAGGCAGCAGTATAAATTTTCAAATAAAGTAAATTTCCAAATAAAATATCTCTACCCATTTCTGCCCTTTCGGCTGTCCTACAGTCTGTCACCACTGCCTTCTCCTACCGTCCCCAGCTGACCAACATTATTGTTCTGCTTATTACTCTCTGGATGGGTATAAAGCAGACAGAGCAACTCCACAAAGCATCCATACAAAGTCTTCTTATTGGTTCATCAGACATCCTTATCAACTCACAGTTATGACAAGGTTCTTCTTAATGTCCAATCCTTTGCATATCTTCATTATAGTAAATGTAGTTAAGGTATCCTGGGAAATGTAGCCCATGTCTTGTGATCACATCTGTAATCCTGATTGGTTACTAAATTGACCCTTGTTGGGTCGGGGGAAGCTCCCTCACTCTTGCCTGAATCTATTACCATGCAGCTGCTTCAATCATCATTGGGATGAGAGTTCATTTTTCTACACCATAATGCAGATATGCAAAGGATTGGACATTAAGAAGAACCTTGTCATAATGGTAAGTTAAGGATGCCTAATGAACCAATAAAAAAGATTTTGTGGAGTTGCTCTGTCTGCTTTATACCCATCCAGAGAGTAATAAGCAGAACAATTATTGTCCACAGCTGCTGAGGAGTGGCTGGCCAAGGCAGCAGGTGGCTTTCATGAGGCCTCCACAATGGCTCTGAAGAGCCAGCAGCTGCCTTGGCCTGGCATGCCTCACAGCAGGAGGAGGAAGGTACAGCAGGTTAGCAAGAGATGGCGGGGAGACAGAAGGCAGAGCAGCCAAAAGGGCAGAGATGTGGGAGAGATAGGGGGAAGTTGAAGCTCACCATGCACTTGTAAATGCAAGCAGGTTGCCAAGGACCTGAATTTTGATCATAAGGCTCGGCAACAGCCATAACTTGCAAACTGATTGTAACTACCATGGCTTATGATCTGTATTTGCATTTACAACTGTCACTCCGGCCTCACAATCACATGTTTGCAATTGGAATGCTTGACAACTGGATCGTATTTATAGCTGATAGCAGTGTCCTGTAGGCACTAATTGTGATTTGTGACCTTTTTTGCTGATTACCAACGTAAAATGCCCATTGGAAAATCTGGATTTGCCTAATGACCTCGGTATTCACTGAACCACTGCATGATTTACTTAATCACCTCTATAAAAATTACTACAGAATAGAGTTCAGCTCAATTTACCACCACAACAGCTTACAGAAATTTTGGTTGTAATTGTTTTCATGATTTGAGGACTATTGTACTATTAGGTTGCTTATAATAACCAAAAGGCCTTTCTAATACTATTCTGACTATACTTATTTGCTCCCTGATTATAGTCTTTTCTGCACATTGATTGCAATTCTAATAATATGCAATGCTTTTCAATTCTCTCTTCAGGAGTTAGCAGTTCCTGCTGTCCATGATGGGGGAGCTCTTTTGGCTTTTGTCTCTGGTGCGGTCTACATTTTTCTTCAGACAGTTATCTCTTACAAATCACGTCCACAATGGAGCACTCCGTGTGTATGTCACACAAGATTATTCCTCTCCGTAATGACTTGGGTAGCTGTCATTCCCAGTATCCTTTTTACAGGATATTAATATGTCAAAGTTCTTAACAATACAAGCACCACATTTTTAAGTCAGCTTACTATTTCTGTATTCAGTTTTACAGTATTTCTCTGAAAGGGACAAAATTATACAGCTCATAACATGCGAAACTGAGATATAAGCTATGTTTATAAAACAATCAGACACTGGGAGAGACGCATTAGACATAAGGTACCCAGAGGTATAGCATGTTCCAGGTACATGTTGAAACCATTTTCAAGATATGCAGACAGTCCTTGAGATATGACTGTCATGGAGCCCCTCCCCATTATGGCCTCATGTTCCAATGGTATTAAATGAACCATTTTACCTAATGTCTTGTACATCACCAGTGCAATTGTTAAACAAACATATGAGTGATTAAGTGCAGCACTGGATGCCTCTGGGATGGGGGAGACCCTTAAAGGCCTAGTGCTGGCCCAGCCCTGCCTGCCTGGCCCTCCAAGGCCTCTCCCACCCCAGAGGCACCCAGTGCTCTGCTACCTGTCCCTGGGAGTTCCCCAGGCCTCAGCCTGCTCCCAAGCCGGCCATTCAGTCAGGCAAGGGAGCTTAAAGCTGTCACACATAGGAGATTTACAGCTTGTAAGCCAAGGCCTAATTCCCATCCACCTGCCCAATGGACCTGCTCCTCGCCCAGTTCCAGGGCCCAGCAGTACCAAACTTAACTTCTCAATTTTTGCAGAGATGTCTCCTGGTCAGGGCAATGCAATGCGAGGCTCAACTTAGATTTCTTGCCGAGGCTTGCCAGCCCTTGTGCTATTCTCCTAGCAAGTAGCACTTATCATGAGGTTGTAGGGTCCTGCCTTTTCTTTCTTTTTCTTTTTTTTTCAGAAGGCTCCATAAACTAGAACAGAGCCTTCTATAGAAAGAAGTACTGCTTGCTGGGGAATAGCACAAGGTTGCCATGAGGTTGGAGCCTGAGCTTTGCATTGGCTTGGGTCTTCTGCAAAACCAGGATAAAGGATAAAAGTGAACTTTATCATTATCTTTAAAAATTTAAATACCCATTCTCGATACTGAAATTAGGAATCCAAGAGATTTCAGAATCTAAGGAAAGTTTACATTCATGGTGTCTTTATATTGAGTGGGCTTGCTAACATGCCCATGAACAATGGTTATTGTATACTGCCACAAATCGTAAGTTTATAATTCTACTATTAACAGACATCAGTTCTGCCTTCATGTACACATGCCATTATGACTATTTTTATTTCCGTTTGATTAATGATATTTCCTTTCATTATTTCATACGTTATGTGTTGTATATTGGTAAAAGGAATGTAATTTTATATGTTTTTTTAAAATCAATTGTTTCCTCTTAACTCCTTTTTCTCAGTGATTGCATGTGCTTCATTAATATCCATTACAAAAATAGATTGGATTCCAGGTGAAAAGGTAATCATATACTAGGTAAAAAATTAATATTTCTACCCCAGTTTAACTTTATGTATTAGGTTGTTTTTTTTTACTAAAATACTTAAGGAAACAGATAACCAGAGCTGCTTTTTTTGCATGTTGCTAATACTATATAATAGGTTGTGACATATGTTTTAAATTTTAAGGTTTGCCTAGATTAGTTGTGGCGAATCTATGGCACACTTGCCACAGGTGGCACGCAGAGTCCTCTCTGTGGGCACACGCACTGTCGTCCCAGCTCAGCTCTACCATGCATGTGCACACTCCTCCTGGCAGCCAACTGGCCTTCAGGTCGCACATGTATAGGGTCGCACGTGCAGGCAATGGGGCGCATGTGCAGGGGCACATGCATGCACAGGGGGTGTGGGTATGTGCGGGGCGGGGGCACATGCACAAGAGCACGCCTTGCATTTTGGGTATGTGTGCCACTGGCCTAGATCGATACATGTAGGCTTTTAAACAGTGCTTTTTGATTCTTAACTCAGTGGTGTTTAACTTTCTGTAAATATAGGTTACCTGAGATATATTTGGTCAGAGTCTTAGATTTGCTAATAAATTACTCCTATCTCATGGGGTTTTTTTTATGAAAAAATGGTGATGAAATTAAGAGTTGTAGCTATAGAGACTAAAAGATAACAGAGAAGTTTGGAACACTTAAATCATTTTAGGAAGCAAAGCCTCCTTTAGAAATATTATGGAAAATAAGAAATCAGTAGCGGTATTAAAACCAGGAATCATCATTTATGCTTAACTTCAATAAATGCGTAAATTACAAATACATTTGTAGATGAATAAAACTATTGAATCTTAACTCTTGTTCAGGTTCTTTGCTTGGCTGAAAATTTGTTGTGCTTCATTCTCATCTTCCAATTTGCTTTTTAGAAAAATCATATAAAAATCTAGATATTTCATCTATATTAAGATATAGATGAGGCATTGTCCTTTTTTGTACACATTTTTCTTTGATAAACACATTTTAAATATTGTACTTTTTTTAACAAAACCAAGACCTACATTGTTAAATTCTGAAAAGTACAGTTTTTAGTATGCAAGTGCATTCTGGTTCACATATAGATTTGAGAACTGTGAAATTAATTTTTTTTGTAAAAGTTCAAACAAAACAAATGTCTCCTGTGTAAAGACTTGCACTTGGAGAATTGAGGTTTGTGTAAATTCTCCTTTCAGAATAATCCATGGCTATTTGCCTCTCACCCAAAGGCCAGGAATGGAAGGTTGTCAGTCTAATATTCAGAACAAAAGGACACTTTGCCCGAACTACTTGCAAATCTGAACTCTGACCAGGTATGCCTCATGCAACCTATATTGATAGAAATTATCTCTCTCTTTTTAAAAGAATTATTGCCTTTTTGCTCTGAAGATATAGATGCACATGCATCCTTAAAATAATATAATCTGGTCTGGCAGATGATTTGAGATTATTCTTCCTAGAATTTTCCCTTAGATTGGTGAAAGGTGAAATATTGTTCTACAGTTGTATAATATCTCAGCAACTAATAGTAGTATTGTTAGTATTAATGTTCTTTTAATTTGTTTTTAATAGTAATTGTAGTTGTCCAATTTATCTTTTAGTTGCCCAGAGTCAGTGTAAACTTATAAATTTATAGGGCCAGTTTGGTGCAGTGGTTAAAGGCATCAGGCCAGGGAGTGGGAGACTGTGAGTTCTAATCTCACTTTAGGCACAAAGCCAACTTGGTGACCCTGGGCCAGTCGCTTTCTCTCAGCCCTGGGAAGCAGGCAGTGGCAAACTTTCTAAATCTTGCCAACAAGAAAACAGCAGGGACTTGTCCAGGCAATATCCACGAGTCAGTAAACGCCTTAAAGGCATAAAAATAAAATAATAATAATAAATTTATGTAATAAGTGAATGAAATGATAGCTCAGAATGAAATGCATGCTGTCATGTATATGAATAAGTGTCAGAATACAGGACAAGTACATTATTTTCTCATATTAGGGCAGTGTGTGTGTGTGTGTGTGAAGAGTGGTGTGGTGGCCTACAGGTGGAGCTCTTGCCTCACAATCAGGAGGCTGCGAGTTTGATCCTTGGTAGAGGCAGATATTTCTCTTTCTGGGCATATTGAGGATATATCTGCTGAATATAACTCCACATTGGTGACAGGAAGGGCATCCAGCCAGTAAACACTCAGCTCCGTTCAGTTGCCCAGACTCCATCCCGCAAGGGATTATGGGGTCGTTAAAAGATGATGATGATGTGTGTGTCAACATTTTTCTTTCTTGTGAAAAACAATTTTGTTCCTGGGACACAAAATCTAATCAATATGACCACTTCAACACTCATTGTTTACAGAGCATCCTTAAAAATCCATGCCATGGTGAAATCTTCCTTTCATTCTTCTATTATAGTGTACAAAGCAAACCTTATATCAACTTATAAATCCCCATGAAACTCTCAACTGGAGCCCTTTTTGGGGCCCTCTGCTGTTTGACCAATCCATTGCTATTTGTTTTGTCCTAGCAGATGATCCAAAGAAGGTGCTTATCTAGTTCCTAGGAAAATACCATAAATTTCCCAGCTTGTTTTTCCCCCTGTTAAAAATCTTGTCATAGAAAACATTGTCATGATGTCAAGAACTTACATTTCATTTTTTTTATTAAAAAAACCTGAAATAATTCAAATAATAACAACTTGAAATGGCTGAGAGCAATGATTTTCAAGAAAATAGCAGTAGCAATAGACTTATATACCGCTCTATAGTGCTTTTCAGCACTCTCTGAACAGTTTACAGAGTCAGCGTATTTCCCTGGACAATTGGGATCCTCATTTTACTGATCTCAGAAGAATGGAAGGCTGAGTCAACCTTGAGCCATTCAGAACCAAACTCCAGACTGTGGGCAGAGTTAGCTTGCAATACTGCATTCTAACCACTGTGCCACCACAGCACCAGTATTTCTCATATCTTGTATGGGTGCTTGTAGAAGCTTAGTAATGAAAAATGATCCAGGTATAGAGTGTTTTATGTTTTAATATTAGGTTTTCATCAGAGATAAGCCACGTAGGAAATGTATAAGTGCTAAGTGTACTGAAACTCAGTAAAGCAAGAAGATTGTTTTCATTTGATTACAACAGTGGTTCATGTAATGGGCTTCTTTCAGTGAAATAGAGAAAGAAGCAGGCTTCTAAGTTTTCTCCTCTTCCCAAATCTCTTTTAAGAGTGGGGGAAAATCTTCCAGAACAACATGGAGAATGCAGGAGGAGGGTAATTACTGACAATTACATTTTTTTTCCACTGATGAGGCTTCTGCTGAATCAAAGAGACTCCTGCCTGTGAAGGAACACTAATTGGATGAAATTCTAAATCAATAAGTACTTATCTACCACACTGTGCATCTGGTATATACCGTGTTTTCCCCGAAAATAAGACCTATTCTGAAAATGAGCCCTAGATTGATTTTACACACGTGTCCAATATAAGTCCTATCCCCCAAATAAGCCCTAGTTAAGACCCTGCCCACTCTGTTGCACCTGGTTGCAAGGCATACAGGTAAGAATCAAGCGAGGGTGAGGATGGGTGGTGGTGGAACTGCTTACCTTCGGACAGTTGCAGCCAGGACTCGCACATTCCGACACCTGCCTTGCCAGCCCACTTCTTCTGAGGCCATTTGCTGCCGCTTGCGTGCATTGCCTCGCCTCCATTTCATTGTCAGAGACCTTCAGGAAAGGCCTCTGCAGCTGATAAAAGAACTCCAGATTGATGTGCACAGTGCCCCCTGGCCTCTGTTTTGCCATCAGAGGCCTTCAGAAAAGGCCTCTGCAGCTGATAAAAGCTCCAGATTGGTGCGTGCCTCAATCCAGAGCTTATTTTTTGGCTGAAGGACTCTGATGGTGAAATGGAGGCAAGCGGCAACAAAAGGCTGCAGTAGAAGTAGGTTAGCAGCGGCCACATGGGCTCCTCCTGGGCAGGGCTGTTAGTGCTGCCGCCACAAGGTGAGTCAGTAGAAGACATCCCCTGAAAATAAGACCTGGTGTCTTATTTGGTGGCAAATATAAAGACCGGGTCGTCTTTTCAGGGAAACACGGGTAATTTGCTATCTCTATACTTGACTTACCTTTTGTTTGCCATTGCAAACAATTTAATGGCTCTATTTAATGGATTTTTATGTATATATTTCTTCCACTAGGATTATGTGTACCATTTTATAAGTGCAATCTGCGAATGGACAGTAGCCTTCGGCTTTGTGTTCTTCTTCTTAACTTATATCAGAGACTTTCAGGTAAGCATGCACGACTATCAGGATGGCAAAATTCACTGAAGTAATTCCTGTAGTAAGGGATTTGAAACCAGATAAGCCTGGTTGCAAACCCTTCACAGCCCACAGGTTGCAGACCCCTGGTATAACCTCTTTATAGAGACACTGATAGTTGCAAATTACATCTCTGAGTGCTTGTCTAAGCTGAAGTCCAGTGACTAGTGTACTAACCACTCATCTGCAAAGAATATGTGGATTTACTAGAACGTGGGAGTTTATTAGAAATTTTTGAAAGTTGGGAGAGTGGGTGAAGCCCTAATGCTTCAGAAATTTTCCAAGCTTATTTGTCCAGGAATTATTGTAGAAACAGAAAGGGGGAAAAGAAACGGGCTGAGGTCACCTTATTTATTTAGCTTAATTTGATTCAAGCAATAAAGCCTGAAAAATTTAAAAAAAGGAACTAAGCAAACTAACAAGCTGTGTGAATGCAGCTGTTAGATCTTGAAGTGACCTAGTTAATTCATCTTTCATGCCACATTTTTTTAGAATTGTTTCTGAAAAATTATCACCTATGCTTAGAACTCATTAATAGTGTTAGTACCCCAGAAATGTATATTAGTGAGCCTGTGGTATATTACATATAGTCCTCACTTATTGACTGCCTTGTTCAGCAACCATTCAAAGTTACTGTGGTCCTGTCCCTCAGACTCATGATCATCATTAGAGTCAGTACGCAGTGTCTTGTGCCTGACATTATTTCCTTTCCCCCTTGCAGAGCAGAGATTGGAAAGAAAGGGATTACAAGAGAGTAAGCAGGCACACAATGGGGCAGTTTGTGTAGTATGCTCATCGCTGCCAGCATCTGCATTGCTTTCAATATGTATTCCCCATTGTATGCCTGCTTACTTTCTTGTAATCCCTTCCTCTCCAATAAATGTCAATACAGACATTAATTCCTTTCTTGTTAATTATCTCAATGCTGGGTGAGCAGGATAGTGGTTTTGAGGCAAATTAAAGCCAGTTTCATCTAATAGTAATAGCACTTATAAAAGCACTCCATGGTGCTTTGCAAGCCCTCTCTAAGGGGTTTACACATATTGTCCCCAATAATCTGGGTCCTCGTTTTACTGACCTCGGAAGGCTAGAAGGCTGACTTGTTAAGGCATCATGTTAGAAACCAGGAGACTATGAGTTCTAGTCACTGTTTTAGGCATGAAAGCTAACTGGGTGACTTTGAACCAGTTGCATTCTCTTAGCCCAACCCACCTCACAGGGTTGTTGTTTTGGGGAAAAAGGAGGAGGAATGATTATTAGATATGTTGTCTGTCTAGAGTTATCCATAAAATGATGAAGGCAGAGTATAAATAAAAGTCAAGATATGAAACTGATTAATCCTGTCAGTTATGAGCCAGCTGTCCCAGCACTGTCTAGATGAGCATTCGTAGGAAGTGCAGAGATGAAAGCACAATTGTGACCATATGATTTCCCATTCAGAGGTTGCTTTGCTCAGTGGTAGAGATGCTGATCCCACTGATTCCAATTGTAGTACCTAAATGAAGACTAACTGTATTTAGCCATTTGCATTGGAACACAGTTATGGTTATGGCATTTAAAATATTAGCAAATTGTTTTAAGAGTTCATTTCAGATTTTAGTTGAAGCTGTTTGAGGGAGTAAATGCATCTCCCCTAATTCCAAACTTGGTATCTCCTGTTTATAATTAAATGTGTGCTTTGTAATGATTTGCTGATTTTTGCCTTTTCTTATAATTTTCTCTTCTAGGGAGTTACCATACAGATATCAACAGAAATTCAGGGAAACCTCTGACCACTTTTTGTTACAGTTAGCTGGATTGGGTGTGTGTGTGTGTGTTATAAACTGTTGCAATGGCCAAGATTGACCTGGCATCGACTTGATGCATCACTGCTGCAAATTGTTACAATTGTTGTCAAGAAAAAAGGTTCCTTTTAATTTTAGGCTTTTAATTTTCCTGTGTAACCAATCTACTAATAATCTTTTGTATTATAAATACATTTTCAGTTTTTTTTTAAATAGAGGACCTCTGAAATATGTAATCTCTAAGGAATAAATGTTTATCTACTGTAATATATCTTTCCTTTTTATCTGTTTGGTGAATAAAGATAAAGAATAAAGAAACTCAAGCTGCAATTCCAGCTACCAATTACTTGGAAGATTCCAATTGAATTCAATAGGCCTTTCAGGTCAGGGGTTCCAAATCTTTTCTATATAGCTCACAACCCTAGAACACTTCTGATAAATTCTGGCATCCCTTACAAAAGTAAATAATTATATGCATAGAATTATGCATATACACTATAATTTTGAACCCATGTTTTCACACCCCCTGAAATATCGTCTCGCACCCCCAGTTGGGAATCCCTGTTTTAGGTGAATACTTGGAAAAATATGTCAAAATGTCATGAAGTTACAGTCTCCTCACATTTTCAGAGGGCCAGCCTGAGGAACATTGGTTCATATATTAGATATCAAAATGGCTACATCACAGATCAAATATAGGGGCACACTATTATGAAATCAATAGGATTTAAGCAGACATCAACAGAAAAACAGTTGGAACCTATAAATATTTATGTATGTATAATGCCCACCGAGTTTAGCAGAAATTATGCCCAGGTAAGAGCAAAAAGGGAGTTTGCAAAGTTTCCCTAGAAAGTAGATGGATTTTGTTTATCATTAGTATTATCAACTTTATTTCTTTGGGATTTTTATAAATAGAGAAGGAAAATTAGTGTCTGATACAGAAAATCTATTCCAGATAAGTGATTTTTATAAGCGCTGAGCAATTTTTTTTTAGATGCAGAAATCACATTTTATTTTGATGGGAATAATGGTGCAAAAAGTTATATGTTGCTGCCAGATGTAAACTGAGGGGATAATAACGTACTGTAGATTGTAGAAATTGTAAATTATACATCACTATAAATACAGAGATATAATTACTGTACAGTTAATAGGCAGAAAAAAATCTGCAAGAATAGGAATTTTGTGTAATTTAGTTTTGTTAGGGCATTATAGAGACCTTTGCCTAGAGACAAAAAAAAAATTAAGTAGCATTTTAGAAAATCCATATCCCAAGGTATAATTATATCTTTTTATTAAAAGCAACCAAATGAACAAGCAAATATTTTGTTCAAGAAGCAGAATTCCAACTTTTCTTACACTCAAGTATCCCATCAGCTGAAGATTAGGGTTCTACAGGACATCAAGGGCTGCATTCCAGAAGAGAGGTCTAAATTTTACTAATTTCTGTATGATCAAGTGATCATAGTAAAGATTTCTGGGAGTTGAAGTCCATAGATCCTTAAGTCACCCAGTTCGAAAAACATTTTGCTGGAGCAATTACTGTTCCTCCGGTCTTTTTTTTGAAGTAATTCTGGCAGAATATTGTGCTTAACCCTGTTTCTGCACTGCTAAAAAAGCAGATCATTTACATATTCCTAGCATAGGAGATCTAAACAGGTTTTCCCCAATAAACCCCAACAATCTAAGCCAGTGGTGGGATTTTTTTAATACTGGTTCTGTGGGTGTGGCTTGGTGGGTGTGGCAGAGGAAGGATACTGTAAAATCTCCAGTCATTAGTGGTATTAGCCAGTTCTCCAAACTCAAAATTTTCACTACCGGTTCTCCAGAATTGGTCAGAACCTGCTGAATACCACCTCTGATCTAATCCATCAGGTTGGTTCAGCTGTGAAGAAAAATGGGCATTGCGAGTCTACCAATTTACTGTCTGCACTAGAGATTATTTTTATTTTGGCAATCATACTAATACAGTTGTATTTTTCACATAGGAAGCATCTAATAAAGGTCATATGTATGTTTAAAGAAATCTGTTAAAAGGAGAATATTCCTTTTTGTCTGGCATCCCTCTGCTTTGTAGATCGCTGCCACTAACCTTATTGGCTAGCTCATATCGCTGATGATGTAAAACTTCAACACCACCGTCAATGCTACAGTCCTTCAAAAAGACCTTGATTATGTGTCTGAATGGTCTAACAGTTGGCAACTTCAAATCTCGACCAGCAAATGCTCTGTTCTACACATTGGTAAAAAAAAAAATCTATATACCAAATACAAGCTAGGCGGATATGACCTTGTTGATGACCCTTACTCTGTCAAGGACCTTGGAGCTCTCATATCAAATGACCTAAGCACCAAAGCTTACTGCAACAGTATTGCCGAAAAAGCTTTAAAAGTTGTAAATTTAATTTTACGAAGCTTCTTTGGTAATACTGATTTGCAAACTAGGGCATTCAAAACCTTTGCTAGACCAATACTTGAATTCAACTCTACTGTCTGGAATCTGCACTGTATATATCAGACATAAATACAATTGAGTGAGTCCAGAAGTATTTTACCAGAAGACTACTACATTCCTCTGTTCACAACAGAATACCCTACAGCATCAGACTTGAGTTTCTTGGCTTAGACAACCTTGAACCACACCATTTAAGACTGGACTTAAGCATAGTACATAAAATCATATGTTACAACATCTTACCAGTTAATGAATATTTCAGCTTTAACCACAACAAAAGCACACAACAGATAAACTTAATGTTAACCACTCCAAACTTGATTGCAGAAAGTATGATTTCAGCAACAGAGTGGTCAATGTTTGGAACTCACCACCAGATTCTGTTGTCAGCTGCTCAAACCTCCACTCCTTTACCCTCAAACTAACCTCTATTGACCTCACCCCATTTCTAAGAGGTCTGTAAGAGGCATGCATAAGCGCACAATAGTGCCCACCATCCCTGTCCTATTGTCACCAATTATTAGTTCCTATTTCTTATATTTAAACTTATGTTTATTATTTCTATTGTATTGTAAGCTTTTAACAAAATAAATACATAAATAAAAATATTACACTAAAGTTCAGAGTTCTGAGTTGAATTTGTGAGTTTGCACTGGAGTCCTGATGAGATATGTCAGAGGAAAATTTGAATGTTTATCCAAGGATGCTGTCTCTGTGAAGAGACAGTGAAAGAGATACGTTCTTCTCTTGCGCATTAAGGTAATGTGAAGTAGGTCTTTCATGTGTATGGTTCTTAATCCACAAGAACAGTACATTCAAGGCACAAGAGTCCTTAAGGATTTTACTCTACTAGTCAACTGAAGGTGGCAGTGCTCATCCTTGTCTCAGCGCTATCCGAAGACATTTCTGCAGTCATGTGGCCAGTATTACACCACAGAGCACTGTTAACCTTCCCACCAAAGTGGTATCTATTTATCTACTTGCATTTGCATGCTTTGAAACTGCAAGGTTGGCAGGAGCTTAGGTGAGGACCGGAGCTCGCTCTGTTGTGTGGCTCTTGGGTCCTGAGCCTGGGTTGCCAGCTTTCTAGCCAACCAGCCCAGCAACTAAGCCACTGTACTGCCCTGCTATATGCGTATAGGAAAGAATAATTGCATCCTGATTTCTCTTACATAGAAATGAATGGGGGGAGTTTGAATGAAATGCCATTTTCTTTTAGCGAGAAATTTAAAAGCCACTACTATATGGTTTTACATTGCTGACTAGAGGAGACACACACCATTTTTTTCCATGAAATATAATTAATTAAAATAAAATATGTGGAAATTGAAGATTTACCAAACCAAAAGCTTTGTTTGAAAAGCCAATATATTGGTAATACACACTCACATTCATATTCTCTCTCTCTCTCTCTCTCTCTCTCCCTCCCTCCCTCCCTCCCCCCCTCTCTCTCTCTCCACACCCCTATATACCATTTATTATCCTTTATCTGTCTATTACCATCCCATGTAGAGATTGGAGGTGTTAAATTTTTAATGTTCTCCCTACTTCACAATAGATGGCACTAATGGACTACAATCAGAATACTTAGTAACATAAATGCTTGAATAAGAAAGCTTCTCAGGAATATCCTAGGGAAAAATACATGTGCGGACAGTTTGAATTTTTATCAAAAAGCCACCCACAAGACATTTTCTTGGATGACTTGGGAAAAGCAACTGCTAATTTGAATGTACACAAATTAGTATTGCTTTCAAATGGAATTATGGCCGTATTTCTGTAGTCTAAATTCTGCTGTTAAAAAAAGGCAATTTTTGTGAAGAAGCAGTTATTCATTCTGCCTTTACCTACAATCATATAGAAAGTGCACCCCCAGCTACACTAAAATTCTGTACAGAAATTTTACTATGATTTTATTTGTTTAGCATATGGCACGTGTTATCCATGGATCACCGAGGTGGCTGGCTGCCTCTGTGAAAGGAATTTTTCTGGCAGTGTTATCTTTATCTGTGGGATGCCTGAATGCCGGTAGGCACTCGGGGGAGGCTCCTTTCTTGTCCCTCCACGGTTTATTCACTCACAGAAATCGAGCTGCCAAGCAGTCGACCTCAGCAGCACGCAAGTCCAGCATCTTACCATGTGAGCCACCGCAGCCCCAATTTACTATGATGAAAATGGGCTTTAAAAAAGTCAGGCCAAATATAATCAGCTCTTCCAGTAACACACCAAAATCTGAGGGCACCTTTGCTTAGAAACACCTGGCCCTGTGCATAAAGTTCTGGATATTTACTCTAGCAAAGTTCTCAACTTCAGCAACTCTTAAGATATGTGTGGACTTTCAACTCACAGAATTTTCTCTGGTACTATTACACTAATAACTAGAGCATACAAAACATTTGCTAGAGCAGTACTCGAATACAGCTCATCAGTCTGGAACCCACATTACGTATCTGATATTAACACAGTTGAGAAAGTCCAGAAATATTTCACAAGAAGAGTTCTCCACTCCTCTACTCGTTGCAGAATACCTTATGCTACCAGACTTGAAATTCTAGACCTAGAACACCTAGAACTACGCCGCCTTCGGTCTGATCTAAGTATAGTATATAAAATCATACATTGCAATGTCCTACCGGTCAATGAATACTTCAGCTTTAACCATAACAACACAAGAGCGAACAATAGATACACAGTCAAGGTTAATCGCACCAAACTTGATTGCAGGAAATACGACTCCCGCAACAGAGTGGTCAATGTTTGGAATACTCTACCTGACTCTGTGGTTTTTTTCCCCAAACCCCAAAAACTTTAACCTTAGACTGTCTACTATTGACCTCACCCCTTTC